CTCCACCTCTCCTGTGTCTCCCCCTCCTGCAGAGAGAGCCCCTGAGGAGAGGAAAGCTCCTGCAAGACATACCGTACCTTTGATGCAAATGCAAATTTTAACCAAATATGTGCACACATATTTTTTGTGGCAAACACATCATTCTTCCATTCTGCCTTTGTTGCATTTTATCCATTGTCAGCTGGACTAACTGTCCCCCTGAGAAGTATTCTCGGAGCATTTTGTCCTCCAAGTTCCAAAATGAGTTGAATATTTGGAAAAGGTTCACTTGTTTGTCCAAGCAGAGCTACAACATTTCTTCATCCACAGCTGCAAAAAGCTAGAAAACACAGGCAGAGGGGAGGATAGATGAGAAATGTGAGAACAGAACTAATGTGAGAACGACAGGGTGAGATTAGACAGGGCGGGTGGGGGTTAAGGGAAAGACAAATGGAGCAATGGCACAATGTGTTTGTTGCTTTGGAATGTGTGGAGGAGCAAGGTCCTGGCTGTGTGTGTGTTTGTGTGTCTGTCTGTGAATACATGTCCTCCTTTCACGCAAAAGTGTGAACTTTTGATGAACTTTCTTTGAGCCCCCCCAAAAAAATAAAAAATAAAACTAAGTATAATACTTTACATTTAGATAATCACACTACTGATAAATCACCACTGAAATAAATAACATCTATTAAGCAGCCAGGTAGTATTTTTTGTGTGAGTGTTTAGTTGTATTGGTAGTGCAGTTTCCAGTCCAGTTGTGGTTTTTGACTCCTTTCTCTCCTTCTGTTTTTTTCTTTTTTTCAGATATAGATGAGTGCAGCTCTTCTCCATGTCACATCAATGCCAGATGTATTAATGGACTGGGATCTTTCCAGTGTCAGTGTCAGCTGGGGTTTTTTGGGAATGGTTTCTACTGCTCTCAGCAGGAAGGTCAGTAGCACTCCATGGATATTGTATTCTGGGCTAAATCTAGTCAACCAGTGCCTTTGCAAAAGATGCCTTTGGTTTAAAGGCAAAGACTCCAATTCAGTCTGATTTTAACCACGAAGGGGTTGTGTCGAGGGCTAATATATGTCCCTGCTGACAAGGGGTTTTGATATGGTTCATAGCTTTACACTAGAAGCTCTTTGTGCCTTAACCCCAGAGGGGCTTTGTGATTTCAGGTGGAATTGAACTGTTCACCCTTGACTTTCCAAACAGGTGTCTTTGCCAGTCAGAAACTTCTGATGTTGACAGACTGTCTCTTGCAACTCGTGAATTTATGCTTTTTTCTGGTTTGTTTGTTGTTTTTCCTAAATTTTCTGTCTTTGTGTTTTTTTTCTCATTCAGATCGACCGGAGCGTCTTAAAACTCGCTGTGAGCACCACAGAGACAGCGTAAAGACCACCAGTGCTGATGGATATCCTATAAATAGCCAGTGGAGCCATGGCACTGAAATAAAGATGAGAAATACATTCCATTTTGGGGCATTTTGAACTTTATTTGATAAACAGTGAAGAGTTTTCAGACATGAAAGTAGGGAGGAACAGTGGCAGAAGAAACTGTAGTTATTCACTTAATATATTAAAAGTCACAGTTTCACCTGCTGAGATAGATACTGTCCTTCTGCATCACACTGTGGTACATAGGCTCCAACTATAGGATATCCATCAGCACTGGTGGTCTTTACACTGTCTCTGTGGTGCTCACAGTGAGTTTTAACATGCTCTGGTTGATCTGAAAGAGAAACAAAGCACATCTAAACCTTCCTGTGTCAACTCCAAATAAACCTGTAAAATACTGGTGGCCGCCAGTACTACCCCTCAGCTTCATAGTAGCTGCACCTGCATGCACCAATGTCAAAATCCTTGTTCACAAATAAGAGTTTTAGAAAACTTGACCTCTGACCTTGTAGAATCAAATGTCATACATGAAAGAAACGTCAAATCAGAGAAGATTACATTAGCAAACAAATGCAAAAAAAAAAAAAGAAAAAAAAAAAAATAAAATGTTAAAAAAAAAAAAAAAAAAAAAAAAGAAGAAAAAAACAAAAAAAAGAGAAAAAAAAAAAAAAGAAGAAAGAAAAAAAAAAAAAAAAACAAAAGAAAAAAAAAAAAAACAAAAAATAATAAGAATAAAAAAAAAAAAAAAAAAAAAAAAAGAAAAAGAAAAAGGTAACCAAATTCGAAAAATCCAGAGTCGCACGTAAGAGTAGGCAGAATAAAAGGTAGACAAACCAATACCCAAACCCACAACTAAGTTGACCATTAAAGGGAGGTAATAAAACTATACTGAATGAAGCACAGGGACACTAGAAATGTAAAGAGTCTCCACAAACCTGAGTTCAGTCCACAAGTATACAAGGAGACAACAAAAAACCAGGAGAAGTCACTAGGGGCCTGCCTCGTCCATCTCCATCTTAACTGACCACAAAACCAACAATGTTAAGCAAGTGGGAGACAAATGCACTGAAAATAAAAGTGCAGAAAACATAATAGAAGAAAACAAAAGTTAAAGGTAAGATGAAAAGCCCCAAAGCCAAAACGTAGGTACAAAGAA